ACATGCTGTACCATCCATTCAGAGGGAGGGGAAGGAGGGACTCACAGTAGGTCTAGACTGACCCCTGGAGCCATCTCCTTGAGGAATGGGGCTCTGAAATTCCTCTGAAGGAAAAGGTGTTTGTCTGTGCTGTTGGAACTGCGACTTCAAGGGAGTTTGTACATTAGAAATAGTAGCATTCAGGATCAGAGAGACGGCTCAGCCGTTAAGAGCACTGCTTGTTCTTCCAGAGGTCCCGAGTTCAATTCCCAGCAACCACATGGTGGCTCACAACCATCTGTAATGAGATCTGATGCCCTCTTCTGGCCCGCAGGTGTACACGCAGACAGAGCACTGTATACATAATACATAAATACATCTTTTTTAAAGAAGAGAGAAATAGTAGCTGTCTTCAACAGTCAGCCACAGAGCCTTGAAAGACCAGTATGACCTGGGGAAGCCATGGAGCCGTGTGGGTCCTAGGCTGCCCATTTGCTTGCTCCCACTGTGACTTGATTATTTTGGGGAAGACAAAGATTTCCCTAAGAGACACCATCCCATTTTATCAGAGGAGAAATAAAAGTAAAGCCACAAAGGATAAGAATGTTCTAGAATCCAGAAGCTCTGCTTTTCTTGCCCAGCATCCCCCCAACTCACTCAGCAGTGTCTTTTGTCCCCTAGTGCTTGCACAGTGGCTTGTCTGTCATGCCACTTTCCGGATCACCCCTGCCAGCCCTGGGGTAAGGTGTAGAGCTCCATGTCCTGGCAAACCGTCAACACAAACAAGGCTCCCTGATGCCCTGCCCTCTTCCCCATACAGTGCAGCCCTGCACTTTCACGGGTTTGAAATGTTTATGTTGCCCTGGTCTTTGTTATTTCTTGCTCGGTATGCTGGAATGCTTGCCATCCCAGGGTCTGTACCCGGCCGCCCAGCTTGCTGAGCTGTGCCAAACACTTGGGGGAAGAAGGCTGGGGCGCCACCTGAGAGACGGAGGGGAAGAGCTGAGTTTTAAGCATGCACGTGGAGGCTCAGTCTGTGCTTTGCACATCACGTACATGCAGTACCACGGATCCAGAGATCTTCCCCCATTCCCACTGAGGCTGACGGCCAGGCCCTGACTGGTCAAAGATGGCCAGCTCTACTAGGACCCAGGTCCTTGGTCAACCACCGGGCTAATCTCACAGTCCAGACTGTGAGTGGGGCAGGTGGACAGGCAAACAGCCCCCAAGATGCCAGTGCTGGCTTTCTCACTGATTTCCACCTTTCAAGTGAGGATGTCTTTCAGAACTTGTATGATGGTCACTGGGCACACCAGCCCCTGCTAAGAGGAGCCGGCCAAGGGTCGCTCACTGACCAGAGCAGTCCCCACAGCCTGCACCTCTGCATCCTGAGCCATCAGGGTCCTATTCTCCTGCTTAAGTCCCACAGCCAGCAGATGTGACATTTAAGTGAAGAGTCTGGGATCCAGGGAGATGGCTCAACAAGCCCTGAGTTCAGTATCTGGGATCTATAAGGTGGAAGGAGAGAACCATAAGTTGTCCTCTGACCTCTGCATACATACATACATGCACGCACACACACACACACACACACACACACACACACACACACACACACACTCTACTAATATCACCTGACAGGTCTCATACACCAACTTCACTGTCAGAAGAGGGACTGACCTCAATGACCTCAAGAACCCACAGGGCCCTAGGTGTCCCCTGACCCCATCAGAGAGCTACATGTCAAGAGCTCAGGGTCATGCATCATAGCCAAACCTCAAAGACCTGGGGCCTGCAGACTTACCCAAAGGATGATTCTGAGAGGGGTCTGGGCTTTGGTTGTGAGCGAGGCAGGATTCTGGAGAGACAGACCCCTTCTAAAATCCCGTTTTTCTGCCACATTTGTTGGCAGCTGAGCCCACTCTCCCTACCCATTGTCTCTCAGACTCCAGAAGCAACACCATGGCACCATTCAGGCCTCAAGACAAGCAGGAGCCTCTGAAGCTGTAGTCTTGGAACTGCCTCTTGAATGAACACTTGCCACTCCCTCCTAAGGCAATCCTACTAGGCCGGCACTCTAGCCAGCAGCAGGGGTTCAATATTCCCAGAAGGGCTGATGCTGTGTGCAGGAGCCAGCCTACACAATGTACTTGGAATACCTGCATGCCCCTCTCCCGGAACCATTTCTCCCTTCTCACCGACAAATACAATTTCCTGGGACTGCTAAATTCTTCCCCACCTGTGGTGATATATTATTTATGATTTATTAAAGCTTGCCTGAGGATTCAGAAAGCAAAGTCAGCCACAAACCAAAGAAGTCAGGGGATGGTGATACACCTCTTTAACCCTACCACTGGAGGTAGAGTGATCTGTTAGTTCAAGGCCACACTGAGCTACAAGAAATACATCTAGTCCTAAAGGAAAACAGCTCACACAAAGATGATCTCAGCACCTGGGATCACATGCCTTTAGTCCCAGGACTCATGAAAGGTATTTAATACAGGAACAGGGTCTCAAAGCCCACATTCATTCTCCAGCCACACTGAGGATAGGAAGACATTGAAGTCTCAGGATTCTCCAGCCACACTGAGGATAGGAAGACATTGAAGTCTCAGGATTCTCAGCCACGCTGAGGATAGGAAGACATTGAAGTCTCAGGATTCTCCAGCCACGCTGAGGACAGGCAGCAGTCTGAGGTTTGGTGGAGTCAGGATTGCCTTTCAGTCTGAGGCAGAGTAAGAGCTAGTGACCAGCTGCTTTGCTTTTCCGATCTTCAGTTTGAAGTTTGAACCCCACCCCTTTGCCTGTTCTCCCTCTAGTCATCCTGTATGTCACTTCCTCTAAGTTTTCCCTGATTCACCAGGTTCAGCCAATGTTCCCGACCCTTCAGACAGTTCCGCATCTAATGGAGTCACCATAGATTTGCATATTTATGAAGATGGCTCGGTCATATGGAAGGATGCCCTTTCCTAATTTATACAAAGTGCCACAGGGCCCATGAGTAGCCTGGTTGCACTGTCTGCCCCCCAGCACTCAGCACTGGTCCAGATGCTGCAGGAGGCTGTTTCTACAGTCAACCTACAGCCCATGAGGCTATAAGCTTGGAGAGGGGAGGCATCTCTTCTACCCCACTCTCCATGGTCCACTCGAAGCCTTCACCCCAAGTGTGTCTTCATCAGTGATAACACTTGAGGGCTAACCTGAATGTGGCATATAGAAGTCCCAAGCATTGGCCTGAGGAGGGAAACAAGGAAAGTGACCCATGCACCCAAAATGTCCCTGGCTTCTTGGGGAGTCCCTGAGTAGACTGGCATGCTCTTCCTAAGGCCAGGTTGTTCCTTCTCCCTCTCTTGAGGAGACATCATCATCATCATCACCATCGCCATCATCAACACTCAGCCTCCCTCAGTATCCATGAGAGATTGACTCCAGAACACCCCCACAGATATCAAAATCTGTGGCTGCTCAAGTCTCTTCTGCGAAACGGCATAGCATATAACCTAGCCTATCCTCTCACATGACTTTAGGTCACTTTAAGACTGATTATAATAGTTTATGCAATATAGGTTATGTGTAAATTAGCACTGTAGTTTTTAGGGACTACGACAAGAAAAAAAAAGTCTGCTGTGCGTTCAGTAGAGACCCAACTATACAGTCAGCAAGGTGTGGGGTGAACAAGGCTCACGTGACTGCTGTAGACACAGGACCCCAGTGTGCTGGGAGGCTACAAAAGCACATGATCACATAGCAAGCACCTCAATTCCTGTGGGCTCAGCATCAGGCTGCAGAGAAGCGAATTCAAGTGTCACTTTTGGAACTTGGATTGTCCTTCAAGTATTTTATAATTTATTATGTTTTATTTATTTTGTGTGGGGTCGTGTGTATGTGTATGAGTGAGGATCACACTTGCATGTGGAGGTCACAGGACAATTTGTGATGTCAGCTCAGCTCTCCCTTTCACCATGTGGGTCCCAGGGAGTGAACTCAGGCTGTCAGGCGCCTTTACCTGCTGAGCCATCTCACTGGCCCTGTCTTTCTAACATTTTTGACCCAATATTGGTTGAATCTGCAGTTACAGAATTGCAGGTGTGAAGGGCCATCTATAACATGTACCATGTAGTTCTTCTCATAGCAACCCTGTAGGACCGACACCATTGCTCTTCAGTGCCACAATTCACAAGAGAGGGGGCCAGGGCAGAGAGAGGTAAGCAAGCTGAACACAGACTGGCTCCCAACATGGTACTGTGACAGCATCCACACTTACTCCTAATGTGGAAAATGTAGTCATTGTCGCACTGTTGAGTCTGATGCTGGGAGCCCTGCTCCTCCCACCTTTGGGCTGTGATCCAGGCCCCCCACACAACCAGCTCACCGAGCTATTGACAGGCAAGAACACATGCCAAGTTCAGTCCTGGGGTGTGGCGGTGGGGAGACAGGCTGAGCAGGCCGAAGCCATTCTCAGTCACAGGCATCTGGTCACTCTTCCCAGACGTCAGGCTAAGACCTCTGTCTGCGAGCAGTGTGAATGGCTTTTTACTCAATGATCCTCAGTGCCTGGCACATAAGAGGCATCTGGCCCATGTCTGCTGAATGAACAAATGAATGATCGGATGTGTGTTGGGGTTTACTCAATCATCCAAAAGGGGACAAGGAACTGGGGCTCTCACACCCCAGTGTTGAGAGCATTTTCAGACAGACATTTAGCTTTGATCCAGGAGGGGAGTTGGGGACCTAAGACCCTCGGAGAAAGGAGACATTATAGGTTCCTGGGGTCTAGGCACGGGTATACGTGAGAGGGTGGGAGGGGTCCATCACTGGTTGGGCTCCCTATAGTCTACTACAGAAGTGGGATCCCCACACAGACTACCGGACTGAGCAGAGACCCAGCTGCTGGGCAGAGGGGCTGAGCTGGCTCCTCAAGGCACATCTGGAAGAATTGTCTGGCCTTGGGAATCTTTGGTGGTGAGGGTTGGGGATAGTGTGCTACCCCCCTACCCCTCCATCTTGATGCCAGTACTCACCTGGTCTGGGTGGGCATGGAGCACATGAGTTCACCCCCCAGAAGGTCCCCACACTGCCGCAGCAGTCTTCCTGAGAAGTCAGCTCCACCAGGGGGTTAGCACACTGGAGAAGAGACCATACACAGCACCTGTGACGCCTGCTGTCCACGCATCAGGCCTCCTAGGTTCAACTCACAGAAAGCCAGTGTTTTTCTGAGTCCAAACTCTATGTTGCCTTAGACTGCAGGCACTAGGGACGACTCTTCTACAAGGGGACTTCTGTGGTCCCCTTCTGTGTGTCTGGCTTATGTGCCTGGTTTATGTGGCGCTAGGGATCAAACGGGGGCCTTCTGCATAGGAGGCCAGCACTCTGCCAACTGAAGTAACCCCCAACCCACTCAGGTACTTTTGTGCTGTGGAGTTGCCCGTGTGGGAAACGGAAGCATGTTCCACAAGAACAAGGAAGAGAGAGAGGACTATAGACTGGGGGCCATAGCGCCCGCCCTAGACACCTGAGGAGCTGAGGTAGAAGCTTTGTTCTCACCTGTCCATTTGCTGTGCTCATGTAACACCGGCCCAGAAGTCCCTGATGCATGGAGACCACTTGGGGTGGTGGCCGGGGGCCCTCTCCAGCCTGAGCAGGTATGCGGTTGCCGGCCCAGTGACTGTGGCTCGGGCCGGCAGGGGGCCGGTGAGAGGCTCGGGTCTCCACACTGTTTTCTTCCAGCTCAGGGCCCCCCTCAGCCCGGACCCGCGCCACCTGGTGGATCTGCACAGAGGCCTCAGGCGGGTGGTGGATATGCACCTTCACCACCGAGGGATTCACAGAGGCTAGGCAGAAGGGTTGGGGTCAGAGCCAGGAAACAGGCCCCTACTTCATTTTTCATCCTAGATCAGGCAGGCTCCAGACTGTGTGTCTCTCCCAAAGCCCGCTTCCATTTCTTTGCCTGTTAGGTGGAATTAGAACAACGCCCCCCTCCCCCACCCCAGACAGAAGGAAGTGGTAACTCCTCTATGGAAGGCTCTGCTTTGAAAGCCACGCAGTTCTTTCTGATTCTACTTCCTCTGTGACCATGTGCAGCCCTGAGTGCCATCCAACCGCATACAGGCCATGGCCAAGGGATTCCTGTGGGTCATCCCACCACACAGCCTTCATAGGCACTCTGGGCTCAGGGAGCCCATCCCAACTCCTATAGAATCCTGTGTGTTTGTACCTTTAATTTGTCACCTATTAACTGAAGGCAGGGAAATGAAATGCATGCTAAATTCTACCCCCACCCATTCCCCCTCAACAGCCCAGGCTAGGGGTGGGATGGGGGGGGCATAGCCGTGTTTTCTTCCCCAGCACAGGTCAAGGGTACACACACGTGGAGGAACTCTGATGGAATGGAAGGCAGAAATGTAGGGGATGACATGGAGACCTGTCCCAACCCAGCGTACCAATGATGACAGCACACACTCCACCCGGTGTTCCTCACAGGCTGGCTGCCCCAAATTGCTGGCACTCACCGAGCTGGTTAGAGAGAGGCAGCATGAAGGTGGATTGCTTCAAGGGTCCTTCCAGCAGGGATCTGTGGTGGGAGCCTCTCCTTGGAGGCTCCCTGTCTGGCTGTGGGACAGGCAGATGGCAGAACTTCCCGGTGGAGTTGGCTGGACACCAGCACTCATCCCGGCCAATGCAGCGTCCCCCGTTCAGGCAGGGGATCTGGCAGAAGTCTACAACGACACTCAGTGATTGGCAGCTGACCTCCAGTTGGTGACAAGCAAGGAGGGACATGGGATACTAAATTTGGGGGGCTTGGAGGGTGCAGAGCCCGTTGAAAGGCAGGGCCTTTCCTTGAAGCCCTGGAGTAAAGACCAGCAGATAACCATCGTTTTAGAGAAGCCTCCTTGTGTCTCCCCTGCCCACCCCAGTAACCTAGAGCAACTTGGACTCAGAGAGGTCATGTGAGTTGGCTGGAGTCACACAGCCAGGTTGGGACAGAGCTGGGGTAACACTCACTCCCTGCTGTGACTTATAACAACTGACAGAGTCATAGGACAAGAACCTCCAGTGACAAGGGTTCCTTGAAAGGCAGCCCCCACACACACCAAGCTCATCTGTGGGAAGGGGACTCACAGATACGGAAGCCAGACTGGGGGTCATGCCCGTGGCCACCCTGGCTGTACAGGGTGGTGGTGTCGCCCTTTTCACAGTTGTTGGCACAGCGTCCACGGGCACAGGTCTGCTTGCAGATGGTGGGAGTGAAGACGACCTTGATCTTCTTGATTTTCTCGGTGAGGTTCAGCCCTGCAGAGAGAGGGCTTGGGTCCTGGACAGAGCCAGAGCATAGCCCTGATCTCCAGAGCCTGGTACAAAAAGCCCTTAGATGAGAGGCGTGTCCTACAGCACCTGCTAAGACCTGAACACCAGGTTTGCGGGCAAGGTAGGGTGACGGCTTCAACAAGTGCCCCGACATGTCCCCGTAAGTCCATGCTTTGTGTACACTGCAAGAGGAGCCATTCAAAACTGCGCTGGCAATTCTCATATATCTAACTAATATTTCTTTTTTGTTGTTGGTTTTTGTTTGTTTGTTTGTTTTCGAGACAGGGTTTCTCTATGCAGCTTTGGGGCCTGTCCTGGAACTTGCTTTGTAGATTAGAAGGTGTGCGCCATCACTGCCCAGTTTGAATATTTCATTTTACAGCGGGACTGAGGTGAAAAGATACTCAGGGTGCTCTTCTTTACACAGCCAAACAGCGCAGGCCTAGGCTTTGAGCACAAGGGCAGAGAGTGGAACATAGCTCAGACTGGCAGAGAAGGGGTTTCCCGGGGGAAATAGAGGAAGTTAATGCCTGAGGAATGGCTGGAATCAGGTTTGAGGGCAGGGGAGGAGGTCTGGTTACCAGCTTCAGTTAGCACGGTGTGGGGAAGCCAGCAAAACATCAAGGCGGAAGTGAGGGCTGCAGGAAATGGCGGTTGTATGGTGGTAGGCATCCAGAAACGCTGGGGGTTTCCTAGAAGCAGCTGACTGCACTGGTCCAGGGTTGGAGTTTGCAGAAAAGATAATGCTGAAGTGCATGAGTCAGGGAATTGAGGCCCCCGGCTGGATGTGGAGCAAGCGAAGGCAGGCAGAGGTGACAGAGCAGGAGAGGGCAGACTGCCGTCAAAGTCCTAGGGTCCAGATGGATTAGTTTGACACCCTGGAACTCGGCACAAAGCAAGCGCACCAATACTGTTTGTTGTCTGGCTGAAAACGTGAAGGACAAGGTGACCGCTCTGTCCTCTGAGAGTGGGGGAGGGGTGGGGAGCAGAGGCGGGGCAAGAATGCTCCCCTGGGTCCAGATGCAGGATAATCTTACCCCAAGGGGGTGAGAGATGGTTCACATGGGGTCCTGGCTGGGTGCCATCTCTCAGCTCCAGTCCTGGTCCCGAAGGCAAAGCATTGGACGTCAGCTGGCCATTGGCACCAGTGGCCGGATAGCGGCGAACAGTCCTGGGCAGCCCTGTGAGCTGCTGCAAGGGGCGGGTCTGGCTGAGGCCGTTCCGGGTCCTGTGGAGATGATCATGACCTGGGGTTTGCACCCCAGGAGCAGCACCTCTTGGCCCTCTGTCATCTAGCTGACCTCAACCTATCACTTGCGCTTGAAGAATTCTGTTCCTTAAAGATGCCTTCTCCCCACCCAAACACAGCTGACTCCAAGGGTAGCCAGGCTTCTATGGGGGGAGGACCTACCCCGACTGGAGTATTTAGGAAACCCAGCCTTAGGACCTTTGACTACAACAGACTTTCCTGTGTAGCTCCGACATTCCGGGAGTCTTTGACAGCCCACTCATGGGCCAGCCCCATGGTGTGTGCCCAAACCCTGCTATTTTTATCCCCAGTACTGGGGATAAATCCCAGGAACGTACACATGCTAGGCAAGCACTCTACCACCGTTATGTCCCCAGCCCCATTTAACGTCTTTTATTTTGAAGCCTGGTCCAGACTGGCCTCAAATTCCTCTTGGCTCAGCCTCCCCAGAGCTGGGATCACAGGTATGCCTCACCACACACGCAGCCCTGCCACTTCTCCATGAACCCTCTATGTGAATTACAATGTGGGGTGGGTGAACAAGTATACATGCAGAGATCATTCAGGGCAGAGCCTAGGATCTATCTCCCGATTAATTAACACAAAAATGATGCAACAACCATATCCAAAGAGAAGAAAGAATTCATCAATCTCCCATCCCAGCAGGGAAGATACTTTTGCCTATTTTCCAGCCTTTTTGCTCAAGTATGATTTTACAAGATTATCATCAGCTGTATATACAATTTAATTTTTTAACTTAACATTGTGCCCACTTTATATAGTTAATTACACACTTCCCCCCAGAGTTATCATCTTCCCTGCCTTGTGGCTGTTGATATGAGTCACAACTCAGAGACACACTCCTATTGCACTCTTAGATTGCTGGTTTTCACTGTGGAAAGTCATTAGCCAAAGGCACTCGCCACCCAGCCTGACCACCTAAGTTCGATCCCTGGGACACACACGGTGGGAGAAGAGACTGCTACAAGTTATCCTCTGATCCCCACGTGCACACCATGCCCCCACAAAAACAAATAAATGTCAGATTTTAGATACTCATTTAGGGTGGTTCTTGTTCCATCTAATTGTTTCAGTCTATGTTTGATTTTGTGTGTGTATATAGTGTGTAGGTGCATTTGCACATGTGTTCAGGTGTGTGCGGAGGTTAGAGTTTGACCCTGGGCATCTTCCTCAATTACTTTCTGCTTGCTTTACTTTTTGAGATAGGTCCTCTCACTGAACCTAGAGCCGTGGTGATGTGTTATTTATGATTTAATAAAGCTTTCCTGAAGATCAGAGCACAAAGCCAGCCACACTAGTTAGCTATAGAAGCTGGGCAATGGTAACACATAACTCTAATCCCAGAACTCAGGAGACAGAGGCAGATGGATCTCTATGAGTCAAGGCCATCCAGGGTTACACGGAAAGTGAATCAGTCTAAAAAGGAAACAGAGCTCCCGCCTTTAATCCCAGCACTGTAAGGAAGAAGCAAAGGGTCTCATGTGAGATTTAGTTTCCAGTCACAGGGAAGACAGAAACTCCATTTCAGCCTTGATGAAGGTAAGAGCTACTGGCTGGCTGCTTTGCTTCTCTGATCCTCAGCTTGAACCCCGTATCTGTCTCTGGGTTTTTATTATTCGTGTTACAAGAGCTCACCAGTTGTGCTAGCATGGGTGGCCAGGAAGCTCAAAGAACCATGTAGAGCAAGCCCCCTAATGCAAATGGTAATGATGATGATTGAGACGGGGACCTCCGTCTGCACTTCCCTACGGCTGGACTACAGGTGTGTGCGCCCACACCTGGGTTTGCTTTTACATAATGCTTGGGAATGAACGCATCCTCTCTCATGTGGGTAGAAAGCCCTCATGTGGGTAGAAAGCAAGTGAACCATTTCCCCAGCCCTCAAGATTTTTAAAAAATTATTTATTATGTATACAGTGTTCTGCCTGCATGTCTACTTACAGGCCAGAAGAGGGCACCAGATTTCATTACAGATGGTTTTGAGGCACCATGTGGGTGCTGGGAATTGAACTCAGAACCTCTGGAAGAGTAGCCAGTGCTCTTAACCTCTTAGCCATCTCTCCAGCCTCCAGCCCTCAAGGTTTTAAATAACTACTTTTATTTAGCCTTTGTATTTTATGTACTTGAGAAGTGTTCAATAATAAACATTTTGAAAACAGTTATGACATTAAGATTCCTCAGGCTTATCAAAGATTACAAACAGCTTCGGCTTTAATATATTTTGGTGTGTTGTTTTCTGAAGGAGTCCCATCAAAACATAAGTTTCACAATGTATACATGCATCAGCATTACATGGAATCATATATATAATTTTATGGGTTTCTTTTGTGCCAGTTAAGACTTAACAAAGCACAGAAATGTGTGACACAGAGCACACACTCACTAGTGCAGCCTATAATAGTAATTATTGTTGTCACCATCAATGTTGAGAGTCTGCTAGGCAGCTGAGGCTAGCCTCCTAATTGTAGTTTTCCTTTGAGAACTGGGATTACAGGCAAGCACTACCTGCGACTCCCAGCCTTATGGTCAAATTTTGTAATACATTAATCGAATCAGCATAATAATGATACTCCTTCTCCTTTTTAAATTTTAATTTAAAAATTATTTTTGTGCCAGGCAGTGGGGGCGCACGCCTTTAATCCCAGCACTCAGGAGGCAGAGGTAGGTGGGTCTCTGTGAGTTTGAAGACAGCCTGGTCTACAGAGCGAGTTCCAGGACAGCCAGGGCTACACAAAGAAACCCTGTCTTGAAAAACAACAGCAAAAATTATGTTTGTGTGTATGTGTGTGTGGCTATGTATGGGTATATCCATGCGAGTACAGATGCCTGCTGAGACCAGAGACATCATATCCTCTGGAGCTGAAGTTACAGGTGATTGTGAGCTGCCTGTGGGTGCTGGGAACTGAACTTGGGTCCTCTATAAGAACAGTATGTGCTCTTAACAGCTGAGCCATTTCCCCAAGCCTCCCTTTTTAAAAATACTTCTGCGGTTGAAATTTTGTTCATGGATGTATTTATTGCTTGTTCTTTGACAACCGTTTGAATTGTTTATCTCATAAACTTGAACAGATCTTCTACATGTTTGTTATTGGAGGGCCTCTATTGTAAATACTCTAGCATTCTGACAGTGACATGAGCCACTGTATACACAGCAACATCTGGACCATGGCGGGTGAGAGGACATGTGAGCGTGGACTCTGAGAGGGACCAAAGATTCACCCAACAGTACACAATAGCTAAACCAAGACACTGGGATTCCAGATGGGCCACCCTGACTCCAGAGCCTGCCTTCTGTGCCAGCCCAGACTCCAGTGGGAGTTAGCCAGAACTTAGGGGTTCTCTGCACTTGGCAGGTCCTACCTCTTTCCTCCTCGTGGGATTCCGTGCCCAAGAGATCCGATCTGGGACCCTGGCCTTCTCCTGCTCTACAGTGGTTGGCTCCATGTGCTCACGCCATGAGCACTCTGCTGACAGAAGCTAGACTTGGACAACGTCAAAGCCTGATTACCTCATCTACTCAAGATGGCTCCTGGGAACCTCAATGCTGCTCCTTCTAGAACCTTCAGCAGCAAAGCCTCTCCCTGCTTCCAGCGTTTGGGGATTGGAATAGGAGAGGGCCCATCAGCCATGTGCATGCGGAGAGGGCTGGGAGAATGGGGGGGGCATGCAAGGAGAGGGCTGGGAGAACGGGGGGCATGCAAGGAGAGGGCTGGGAGAATGGGGGGCCATAGGAGAGGGCTGGGAGAACGGGGGCCATGCAAGGAGAGGGCTAGAGAATGGGGGGCCATAGGAGAGGGCTGGGAGAATGGGGGGCCATGCAAGGAGAGGGCTGGGAGAATGGGGGGCCATGCAATTACTTTACTAATACAAGTGAGTGTTCATAAGAGGAAAAGTGTGAACCAAGGGACAGAAGAGTTAGCTACAGTTTAATCTCATCCCCACCCTCAGCACCACCCCGATGAGAAAATGTGACCAAGTCACTTAACATCCCTCTCCATTTAAAAGGAAGAAGAATACAGAAAAAAAGTTCAAGCATCCTTATACATAAAGGGCCAAGTGTGTAATCTGTTGTAACATATATATATTTTTTTAAATGATCAGGGACCTCTTCTGAACCCAATTCATTGTCACCCACTGATATGTCAAAGGGAGTTAAATGACAAGAATCCAAAAGGTCTGCTGACTGAGAGGCTTAGAGCAAAGTAAACATTGAAGCCCTGGTTCTTCAGTGAGAGTGCAGCCATAGCCACTACGCCCTCCTACATAGTCCTCAGAGGTTGCAGGAGCAGGAGACATCGTGGCCAGCTCACCTCTGGCCTCCTGGCCAGGGCTGCCATGTCCACAGCCAACAGGGCTGAGACGGAGACAGGAGCTTGGAGTTTGCCCCAGTCATCCAACCCTGGTGTCATGCATATGTTTGTCCTTAAACACACCACAATTGGAGTCCTGATGTGTGTCTTGCCTCCATCTCCAGACGCGGGACACTAAGACAAGGCCTGGCACCATGTTTGATCCAGCGTCCCCCTCAAGAATAACTGCGTGGTGGCTACAAAGGCAAAGCCTCAACAAGAGGGTGACTGTCATGGGTAACAGCCCCTGGGGACAGGTGGGTCTGCTGAGCTTTGCAAGAATGGCTTCAGTGTCAGCCAAGGACAGCAGTTTCTAAGCGTCCTAGACACAAGGATGGTATTCGCTATCCCTGGGCTTGTTCCAAGGAAGTCCCAGCAATGCTACTGCAATTAGCCAAAACAACTATCTCTAAACTTCAGGGTTTCATGGATTGACCACAGTTTGAATGACTGGGAGACCCACATAAAGTTTCCAACTTTTTATTTAAGTGGTGCAGGGACTAACTAATATTTTTAATTAATTAATTTATTTCATTTATGTGTATGTATGTGAGTTTGTGTGAGTTTATATGAACTACGTGTATGCTGGTGCCTGTCTGCAAAGGCCAG